ATACATACATACATACTATATATATATACACACACACACATATATAATCACACTTTCTTTATCCCTTTATCTCTTCATGGGCACCTAGGCTGGTTCCATAGCTTGGCTGTTGTGAATTGTACCACAATAAACATGGGTGTGCAGGTATCTTTATAGTATGCTGACTTACATTCCTTCAGGTATATGCCCAGGAGTGGTATAGCTGGATCATGTGGTAGTTCTCCTTTTAGCTTTTTGAGGAACCTCTGCACGGATTTCCACAGTGATTACAATAGTTTACATCCCACCAAGAATGTGTAAGACTACTCTCCACCCTCACCTCCTCAATCCTTGCCAACATTTGTGGTTGTTTGCATTCTGACAGGGGTGAGGGGAATCTCAATGTTGCTTTGATTTTCATTTATTTTGTGGCTAAGAATGTCAAATATTTCTTCATGTATTTATTGCCCATTAATATTTTTTCTTTTAGGAACTGTCTGTTCAATTAATTTGCCTATTTATTAATTGCATTATTTGTTCTTTTGGTGTTTCATTTTGGAGCTGTTTATATATTCTGGATATTAACCCCTTGTCAGATGCATACCTGGCAAAGATTTTTCTCCCATTCTGTAGGCCTGTGTCTTCACTCTGATATTTGTTTTCTTTGATATGCAGAAGCTTTTTAATTTGGTGTAATCTCATTTGTCAATTCTTGCTCTTATTTCCTAGGCTATTGGAGTCTTATGCCAGAAATAGTTGCCTGTGCCTAGATCTTGAAGTGTTTTCCTTATTTTTTCATCTAGTAATTTCAAAGTTTCAGGTCTTACATTAAGGTCTTGGATCCATCTTGAATTGACTTTTGTGCCGGGTAAGAGATAGGGGTGTGGTTTCAGTCTTCCACGCGTAGACAACCAGTTTTCCCAGCACCATTTGTTGAAGAGGCTATTTTTTCCTCCAATGTATGTTTTTGGCTCCTTTGTCAAAAATCAAATGGCTGTAGCTGTGAGGGTTTATTTTTGGGTCTTCTGTTCCATTGGTCTATGTGTCTGTTTTTGTGCCAGGACCATATGGTCTTTGTAGTATGGATTGATAGTATAATTTGAGGTCTTCAATGCCACTAGCATTGCTCTTTTTGGTCAGGATTGCTTCGGTTATCATTTGTGTTTCAATATGAATTTTATAATTGCTTTTTCTATTTCTGTGAAGAATGTCATTGGGATTTTGATGAGTATTGTGTTGAATGTGTACATGGCTTTTGGTAGTATAGTCATTTCACAATATTAATTCTGTTGATCCATGAACATGGGTGTTCTTTACATCTTCTGAGGTTTTTTCTTTATTCATTGTTTTCTAGTTTTCTTTATAGAGGTTTTTCACCTCCTTAGTTAGGTTTATTCCTAGGTTTTTGTTTTTTTTTTTTTTAAACTATTTTTTGAAGGAGATTTTTTCCTATTTATTTTTTTTACACTCAAATTCACTCTTTTTAACCACATTTTAATTAGCACATATGAATTGTATAATGTGGGGGTTTCATTGTGATATTTCCATACATGCATATAATATACTTTGATCATATTCACCCCCTCTGTTACTCCTATTACTCTTTCTTATCCCCCTCCCCCAACCCCTTTCTTTAAACTTTTTCTTGCAATTTTTAAAAATGTGTTTCATTATGACCTTTTCATACATGCATCCTAGTCCCTTCTAAAGCACTTTCTCTACTATACTTCCAACTTCTGAGGAGACCACTTATTTATCTTTGTATCACCAGCACCAAGCACATTACAGGTCAGCACTAAGCATGAGCTAATGTTATTTATTATTTATTTATTTATTTTCATGGTACTAAGGTTTGAACTCAGGGTTTCATGATTGCTAGGCAGGCTCTGTACTGCTTGAGCCATGCCAAGGACAAGCTAATGTTATTTATTAAAAGCAAATGTGCCAGGCACTGTGATGATGCCCACTTCCACATTACTTAAACATGAAGATTTAGTTGGTGGTAAGAGTGGCCTCACTCTCCAAGGTTATCACCTCTACTCCCATCATCCCACTTTCTCCTACTTCCCCTCCAAGCACTTAAGCTTTGTAATTGTTCTTACTCATCCCATACCTATCTCATTCTCGTCAGTCTCTCTGTAATACTCTTCCTCTAACTTTCCTATTTTATGAGTCTTTATTCATTCGTAAGGCACAGATCAAAAATTCCCCCCCTGCAATGATTTTTGTGATATCTCAAGACAGAATTAGTTACTTCCTCATTTGAGCTGCTTAGCTATCTTGTACATATATGTGTTACATTGTTTACATTGTATTTTGCTTGGTTATATCCATTCTTTTCTACCATAAGGGTGTGTTAGGCCCGTACTTTGTTTATACCAATGCTAGACATATGACAAGTGCTTAGTAATGTTTATTAAATTACAATGAATGTATAAACAGATGAGCATGGAGGGCAATAGAAAAGAAACAAAAGACTAAAAGAGAGCCTTTGGTGAAAAGTAAGGAGGAAGGAAGAGAATGAAAAGACACTTGCAGAAGGCTCTATGATGCAGAGTGTTATGAAACCTGGAGCAAAGGGCTAAGTTCTAATCAAAGAGGAGAGTTGTGAACAGCAGCCCCAACCAATATATGAGATGTGGGCCTGGGCAACCAACAAGAAAGACCATTGATTTGATCAAGAGATCCTAAGGGGCTGGGTGCCAGCAACTCAAGCCTGTAATCCTAGCTGCTTAGAAGGCAGAGATCAGGAGGACGGAAGTTCGAAGCCAGCCCAGGCAAATAGTTTGCAAGACCCTATCTTGAAAAAACCCAACACAACAACAACAAAAAGGGGGCTGGTGGAGTGGTGGAGTGCCTCAAGATGTTGGCCCTGAGTTCAAACCCCTGTACTGCAAAAAAAAAAAAAAAAAAAAGAAGAAGAAGAAAAGAGAGAGAGATCCTAAGAGTTAGAAGCACAGCTTTGGGAGTATCTGAGTCAAGGCTCTGGTCTCCCCTTGTTTTTAGGTCTTGAGAGGAAGCATAAGATAAATTACTTGAGGAAGAAGAAAACCAGACCTCAAATGTGATTATCCTGCTTAAATGCCTAGTGGCATTAGACCCTGAGCCCAGCTCTAAGTTGAGGTAAAAGGCTTTCTTCTTTCATCTGATGCACAGGGTTCAAAGTACTGGAATATTAGAATGGTTTTGGGGAATACAGGGCCCAACATGATGTGTTCCATTTTAATAGCCAGAGATTTTCATCAGTGGGGCACAGATGACCTGGTTGTTTTGTTTTGCTAAACTTTATGGCAGCTGTCTGTTTTAACCCATATCCAGCCTCATATCAAACTCCTGTGCATGACATCTGCCTGAAGTTTTGCCCAAGTGGGTTTTGTCTAGCATCTATTTCTATAATCTGCATCTATTGTGTCCTGGACCAGTCTACTGTCTTTAGATAGGTGATGCATTCTTGACAAGAATGAGGATGATTCTTGGGAGGAATAAAAACAAGCTTATTTTTTAAAATGTATGAAGTGCACATATAATACAGTATATAAACTGTTAGCACAGTCTATCTCTGTGTATGATTCAAGGCTCTCCAGAGAAACAGAACTGATAGGATACATGTAGATACATACAAAGAAATTATTTTGAGAGATTGGCTTATGAGATCATGGAGACTGAGAAATTCCATGATCTGCTGTCTGCAAGCTGGAGGCCCAAGAAAGTCAGTGATATAGTTCCAGCCCAAGCCTGAAGACCTGAGAACCAGGGGAGTCTGACTTCAAAGACCTAAGAACCAGGAGCACTGATACCAGAGAACAGAAGATGGATGTCCCAGCTCCAGACAGTCTTCTCCATTTTTTTGTTCTATTTGGGTCTTTAGTGGGTTGGATAATGCCCACCCACATTAGGGAGGATGATC